GTTGTCCAGCAAGGAGGCGACAGTACTCCTCTTCTCACCGCATCAAGTACTCACAGACGTGCTTGAAGACCCTCTAGAATACGATTTCAGCGAAGACGACCCATCCAATGAGGGTGGTTGCATTTGGATGGATGATTTGCATCTGACATCGGAGGTTCACGATATATTAGGGGAGCGACTGCTCACTGCTGTCCTGGGATAGCGATCCTAACGTGCGGAACGCCACTCCTACATTAGTCTGGTCGCTATCGGTGCCTGGACTTGATGATAGACGGGGACAGTGGTTCACGATTAGCCTGTACAGACAGTCCTTACGAACGCTCGTCGCTAGCGCATTACGCTTTTGAGAAGCACTCTACGCGCTATGTTCGAACAAATCTTTGCCATGCGTGGTCACCGGCACCATGGTGCACTGCTATCGCATGATTCAAGTCAGTGAAAAAAAATTGGCGGGGGCTGGACAGTGTCACCGACTTTTCTCCAGGATTCCCGGCTTGGCTGATTGTATGTTACCTTCCATTTCATCTTGTCTATTATAGTCTGCTAATGGTGTCTTGTAGGGTGACGGAACACATCCTCCAGATCTAATGGCAGGTGCCGCACGCACCTATAGGCCACTTCTCCAACCCCTTCGGCCCTCGGCGGGAAAATACTGGCGCTTTTCGTTGAATATCAATGAAAAACAAGTTCACTGATTTGAAACTTGCTTTCGTGAGAAGTATTGCTAGAAGGGTTCAATGTTTGAGGGCGGTGGTTTGAGGAGAATGAAGTCTTGTGGCTCCACAAGTGTTTTTGTACTCGTAAGTTAAAGTAACTTTTACGCAAAGACCCAAATGATTGATCGGCGAAGTCCGAGAACACGTTCCTTGAAAGTTGACTACAGGAATTCTCACCGCACCTGTGTATCAATAATTGCGACCTCAAACTGCTTCGAAAAGGCGTCCATTCGCAAGTAATCTCTGTCACGAGCTGGCCGTGCTGGACTTTCAATAGTTGGCCACTTGTCACTCTCAACACTGTCCACAGCCATCGATCATCCCTTTCGATTCCAGAAGGAATTGTCAAAATCATCTCAAGGCTGCCACAATTTATTTTCAACCACCAGGCAACATGCTTCCAACACGAGGATTGACATTATTAATAGGCTTCTGCTCGTTAAATACGAGGTTCTGGGCGACTCGGGATTCTTTTCTCTTCCATCTTCCCATCTACTACCGGATAGTGGTTTTGTCGCCTTTGAAGGCCTTCATCCATCTTTCCAGTCTATTCTGCGTTAAATTGACTTATGGTGGCGAAGAATCCTCTGTTCGGGCACTGGTCGGCCAAAAAGTTCTCGGCCACTGTCCTAGATGACATTTGGCCGGAAGTCACCTTCTTTACTCTTATTGCTACAGGTACGACAGTTGGATTATCACGCATATTAGTTTTAATTCCAAGCGACAGTTGTTTCCCTCGTTTCGTTGAAGACAAGTGTCGACTTGGGGGTGTCAAACCAGTTGCTAACGGTCCTCGGTCTCGTCCTCGGTCTAGTGATATCTTTCAGAACATCATCCGCATATGAGAGGTGAGCTTCGGCTATTGCTTGTATTCTGTACGGATTTATATGTTTTTAGGTATCAAGATGGTCGAAAGATGTGGACAAACATCATCGTCGCTTCGAAGAACATGGCACAGATGGTAGGTTGTTGTCTCAATGGTTATTTAGAATTCGCCCTCATGTTTGCAGATCTGGGTACATGTACCAGTAGACCGAAAATTTTTGGCGGACTCTGGGGAGAAACCTATGAATCAGCTGGAGGTCACAATTGAAAAGAAGACGATGATCAACCTGGTGAGTCCCTCTGTTAATCCGAGCGCAATCTAATTCTAACGCTTGAGGTCTCCTTTAAAGATTCAAGCGTTTGCGGTGTCTGTCAAGGTTATTATCTGAGTTCATTTGCGATCGAGCATGCTCATACCCACAACGTCCTCCATAGCATCTGCTCCGTGGCGAACAAGGTGTCTATTATCGCGACCTCTATCCTCTCATCGCCTTCCTCCCACGTTACGCCAACCAGCCTGCAGGTAGCATCGCACCTCCGAAACACGAGACCGAAAAGCTTCCTCTCTGGCATCTGCGCGATGGACACGACTTCCTGCTCGACGATGGCCCCGATGCGGAGGCTAAAGCAGATGTCCAGGAAAAGGCCGAGGGAGTCAAAGCCGATAAAGAGAGCGCGCATGGGAGCGGCTCTAGGAGTTCTGTTCACATTCCGAATGACACGTATTCCCGCAAGGCGGTAGCCATTGACATTGGAGACCGAGATCAGTATGATCCTGAAGCTGTGCTACCTGAGGTGGAAAGCGAATTCGTGCTGAAGCCTGCGAGGAACCCACCTCACGTGTCGGTGTTGGATTATATCCCGCTGCTGCGACTGTTCAGGTGGATCGGGCGAGGATTTACCCATTGGTCAAAGCACGAGGAGAAGAGGAAGAAGCGAAAAGCCTATTCTGAGATTGTTGAGAGTCACGTCCCGCTCGAAATATTACTGACACTGTCCAAGTGAGTGAACTGCTGTTCTATCATCCATATATAGCGTCTAATCTGACTCTCTGACTTTTTCCCCCGCTAGTTATTCGGCCTGTGCGTTGATAGTGATGAGGTTCTACTATATAATGCTGACTATTTTGATGTATAGATCTCATGAAACATGACTTCGTGAAGCCTGCTATTGCCTCTGGATTAACGAACAACATCTTCCTACTAACTGACACCTTGTCAAATCTCGAAAGAATCTGCAACACTCCTCTTCCGTTTGCCTATCAAGCGCATTTGCGGATGTCCCTCTGGTGCGCACTTGCTTCGAATTTGAATTGCGACTATTGATAACGGAATATTTATAGGATTTATCTTCTTCTGCTTCCTGTCAGTTAATTCAAATCTCCACAGATATAAGTCAATCAGTCTCATTGGACATTGGACTTTTTTTGTTACAGTTCCAAATTTATTCATCCTATGGTATTATAACGATTCCGGCAACGGCATTTGCTTCGTTCCTTCTACTGGGATTCCTTGAGATTGGTCACGAAATGTGTGTTCATTTATCAACTACACCCGTTCATTGCTTGCTGACGCTACGACAAAATTAGCGAGAACCCATTCAATTATGACTTGAACGATTTGGGTAAGTATCCCATATCCTTGTCGCACATAAACTGATTCACTACATTCACCCATTAGATCTTGATTATTTCTGTCTATCTCTTCACCGCGATCTCGCTGAGATCACAGCAGTATGTCAACCTTGCTTCGCATAATATCGCAACGTCTGACCCCGCTTTCAGAACGCAAACCACGACCCGCTCGAATATATTTTCAACAAATTGTCTGACCTCTATATTATTCTCCCTCGAACTCCTTTGCTTACTACGCTTGTTTATTTAGGAACAAACCGTTAGCACCGATAGATGTTCGCGATGCGCAGGAACTGGCGAAGATGGAGTTATACACTCATATAGACGATAATGGCACTGTCCCCGCTGGTGATCCAAGTATGCGCAGAGCCCTTGTCGCGGGATGGCGGAAGGTCGAGGAGACGACACGGAAGAAGGTTTGAAGGGATGGGCCCAGCTTGTTCAATTCAAGGCCAAAATGTTTCGTGCACTGCGTGTGATAATATAATCTTCTAGAACTAAAAATAGCGATAAATGTCGACGAGGCCCCGACCTTGCTGGATGTCTGAATGAGGGACGTATACGATATTCCATCCACATCGTAAAATAGTCTGAAAAGCATGTCGACCAGCTGGACCTCGCAGTGATTATTACCAGCAGTAAAACAGAATCGCAGAAATAGAATTGTCTGAAATTCTCTAAAAAAACGATCAGCATGTAAAAAGGAAGAATAGAAATACCTCAAGGAGCTTTTCGCGGTCGGAATCACAGGCTATGCAATAAGGAACGGCTCTACTTGATTTGTACCACTTTCTTTGGTTCTAGGTAATGAGTAGATAGTTAATGATATTGAACGTGCATTACATACCTGAATTGCAAGACTGACACCGAAGGTAAGTAAAGATTTTGTGATATTTAGTCTGTATCTACAGTCATTCACCGGTCAATGACACACACCGGTCAATGACCCAAGTCCAGATTACGGACTCAAATCTTTATGTAGTTTTCTATAATTTTAGGACAGCATTTGTGTACTACATGGCTATAGCTATGTGCAAGGAATAATTTTTTAGATCTCTGCAGAATTTGATATTCGCAGAATGGGTGCATTTTGCTACTCTTGTGAATATTGTTTGGGTGATGTTGGCGAGTTTCAGCCTGTTTTCTGCCATTTCTTTTCACTAGCACATATTTCTGATATAAACTATTCCAAATATGACTGCTCTAATGTGGTAGAAGCCTCGATACTTTGTGAATAGACCAAATGCATGGCTTTGAGCTTGATCAGGGTGTCTGACCGCGTCGCATCAAACTTGCCGAGATATGATGCCGAATTCGGAGCAATCCTATTTTTACGGTGCATATCCATTGTACCAATGTTATCAGAATGATTGAGAGGGAAATAAATATGGGGAGCAAGTAAACATCGATTAGCCACTGGAAAAGGTGGTCAGATATTAGATTTATTGCTCCTGCAGGTGGTGGCGGCGACAGTAACTTTGTAGTACTAAGCGCGATGCATCCATATTTGGATTCACATCATGATGGGACGTTGGGTCATTGACCGGTTTTGACACAAAAGGCTTCAATCACTTACTTTCAAAACAAGGCCACAAAGATTGGGTTTCTCCTTATTCCAAAGGTGCAGAATCGTAGTCTACATCCATATGAATCAATCTGTCTACTCAGAATATTTACAGCCATGAATATACGACAAATCAAGGCAATTCAAATTTGGTTGGGTCATAGACCGGTGAATGACTGTAAATTAGTTGAAGCTACAAGGCCAATTATGTGAAGTCTCGTGCCACGACTATTTATAAACAAAATGTAAGAACTATTTCACTGGGCACATGGTGTAGTTGGTTATCACGCTCGCTTAGCATTGTGAATCAACCGGTGATTTGCGAGAGGTGTTGGGTTCAATTCCCAATGCGTCCAATTTTTTTGGATCCTTTCTGGATCAAGCTTTTGGCGGCTGCGGTGCGCCGTGCGTCTGGACTCTGGTTTCTCAAAAATTTTGACTCCTGAGTCCTGATATTGTTGGGAACGACGCATGATATCAGATAGACTGCAGGATGAATTATCAAAGTACGCAAAAACAAAAACACAGAAGTGCCGATGGCGACAATATCAATGCATAGCCTTTGCTGGGCACTCGTGCATTGCGACCACAACTCAACCTACTTCTTCAATGAAAACATCGACCAACCACTCACAGAAGAAGTTACCACTTCCTTTATGGATCTTGACTATATCAATATACTAAATCTAATGACGGATGGAGTAGTAAATAATGATGACATGGTTTTGGAGAAATCTTGCATGTGTGTCAGGACCGCGTTACGGTACGAGGGTAAGGAGAGCGTAGGTGAACGCGCGACGCGCGATAGCTAAGTCCAAGGTGACGATGCGTTCAGATCAGACCGAAGGCTGGCGACTTCGCTTTTTGGAGGGTCGCCCACGCCTAGTCATCGGTCGATCTCTGCAGCTCAACACACCCTTGTGCGAGTAATCCAATGGGTCTCGCACAAATGGCATCATACCGGAGCGTCATCGTCATGAGGCGGCAGGCTTGAACGGCGACGGCAAATAATCTGTAATCGTTATGGTCGTAGGGCTGATACAGCATAGCCTCCCAGATATCGGACAAAAGGAAATCTGGCGCGGTTCACTCTGAGTTGGGTCGCGCGATAAAAAGAATATGTCGCGACTATCATCTGGTGAAGAGCTTCGTGCATGAATCGCAATCCCAGGGAGGCCCCATGTCAGAATGGAAATATAATCACCACAGACTCGGTAAGGGCTGATGATCATGGATGAATCTTGAAGGATGCGGAAGCAGCGTTCTGAACTGAGAGGAATCGCAGGTAGATCGAGGTCGTCGATGTTGATCTTGAACCTTTGGAATACTTGGCTGTCAGGGGAGCTGTCCAAAAAGAAGTCAAACCAAAGCGGCTGCGGGCTTCCGGTGTACCAGTCGCATAGCCCCGCGCAATCATCGGGGGCAGGAGTCTCGAAATCGACAGGATAAGATATCCGCATCCGTGGCTGGGTAACAGTATCAGGTTCAAGGGTTGGAAACTTGTGCATGATGTCGTAAGAAAGCGAAGGAATGTCCCAGACGGAGAGGTTGTCGGATTCAATTAAAATGATACATTTATCTGTTGCCAAAATCTATAAAAGCTGTCAGTAAATGAGGGCTTATTGTTGGACATGGGTCATACTTGTTTTGATGGCTTTCCCGTATTCCAAGTCGCCCAACCATGGGTAGCAAAATTCCAAAGCTTGAGGATGGAGCCACATACAAGTATTAGAAGATCTCCAACCACCGAGGTGAGATCCAGGCCCTGTTGCGTCTCGACGTTTAGGGTTGCAATTCGTTTCAGCTCGGCATCGGGTTTCCAGGGAAATATCTCAAAGACTTCGAAACAATGACTATGAATGACTTTAGCGTTATAAGCTTGGAAGAAGTTAAGAAGGCTCACCTGGCATCTCCGTAATACTGGTCTGAAGTGATAATTCTGAGGCCTTCGCCATCAAGTGACGGATGAGTCGAAAACCACTGGCCTTGCGATGGAATTTCCGAGATTGGCTCTGATTTTGGCTCTGTGATCCCAGCGATACCTAGGTCCCAAACATATATACGGCTTTGCGATAACGTAACCAAAAAGCGCCCTCCTGGGACAAGATATAGTTGTTCCAATATTGCGAAAGTCAGGGAATGTGCCAAGTTGCTTGGATGCCAGTAGTCATCCGGGTTGAGGAGGGTACGCGTTAGAGGCGAAGGTGTGAAGTCTTTCTCCCCTTTATGTTTCCGTATATAACGGTTCCATCGTTCGGGCGTCGACGCAGCATACTCCAGCTCTGGGATGGACATATCTGCGACAGGATATGAGTGGAGATAGACAGTGTTTTCCAGACACATTTTTTTCAAGGCGTTTATCCAAACGATGCGCTGATGTGTGGCATCGAGAAGAGTTTTACATGTCTATATACATGTATTGTTTGACAAGTGTCAGTGACGCGCTCTACATTCAAGCAAAATGGGCACGCGCACCTTCCTAAAGGAGACGATATCTGGAGGATCAAGGTGCTGGAGCAGTAAAATATGTATATCCAACGACATAGAGATAAAAGTTGAGGTCGAGGTTGATTGCACGCCATGGGTAACGGGTCCGGTAGAGGTAGCCATTGAACTCTATGGGGCTGATACAGACAGAAAAAAAAGAGGGCGATTGTGTATTTAGCGTTCAACGTTCAGCCAAGGACGTGCAAGTGATAGCCTTCCGGTTCGATTCAGAGTTCCGTATGTTGCCACTCTATGCGTATGTTCAACGATGAGGCCAAAGTTGAAGCAGTTCAGAGTGATGCCAATAGTTGTTTGGAACGCAAGCATTCAGCAAACCTCTTCCACCGCATTGACGAAAGTTTGAAACCATGCCGACCGCCAGCCGACCATTCAAGCTCAAGTTGCGCGTCTTGTCCAAATGGCTGTGATACCTGCCCAAGAACCTGGAGACAGGTTCTTGATATCTTTTCCGAGTTCAAGCCATCACCCATCTGAAAGTTGAAATTAGCACCCCTAATGCACCCACCCGCGACCTCCCGCTCAGCTGGCGCTTCAGTATCCAATCTCTCTGGTTCCATTGAATAACAACTACTGATGCATATTCATAGGGAGGAACAAGGGGGAAGTCTACTGCTTGATCCACAATTCACGATTGGCTCGGATATATTCCTTCAACCGCCGCTTTCCAACAAATTTCTTGTCGTCACTGGAGTTGAACAGATCTTCCTCGACGCCCTTTGAAGCATTGTTCTCCATGTTCGCATAGTAAGCCGCATACTTACCATCACTGACTCTCAAGTCGCTGAATATCTTCTCCAGTTCGTCGGTGGACATCCTTTTGTGGGTAATCTCTCGTCCGAGGATCGAGCTGAAGAGCTTGGCGACCTAGGTTCCCGACTCTTGTCAGTGCTTATCCATTCTGGAAACGTCCTTCAATCGCATACCTCGTCAAAGGACAGTAATTCTGGACCAAAGATCAGCACGTCTTTGTTGAGGCTCGGCTCCACTGTCAACGCTTCGAATGCTTTTTCGGCAATATCATCTGCGGACACGAAAGGAATACGCCCATCCCTAGTGGCTGAAAAGATGTGATTGCCATCGCGAATGGGGACGACGACATTGGTGCCAAAATTCTCTATAACAAAAGCTAACTCAAGGCAATCAAATAACTTGGGAGCAGACGTACGTTGGAACCAGGTTGGGCGCAACACGGCGTAGTCAACGCCGATGTCGGTGAGATACTTGTGAACGGCTCCTAGAAGTGCACCGTCGGGTCCCTCTTGACTTGCACTCAGCAAGACAAACCGCTTCACTCCCTTGGCCTTCGCTAGGTCAATGAATGGTCGGACAGGCGTCAAGTGGTCGTATGCGTGTGCAGGGCCGACGATGTAGACGCGGTCAATGTTGGGATCGGCCTTGAATGGGTTTTCGAACGTGGTTGGGTCGTTCCAGTCGAAAGTCACGGCCTTGTAGGGCGCGGGCGCCTTACCACTTCGTGTTGCGATTATGAACGGCAGATTCGCAGCATGTAGGGCGTCTGCGAGTAGTGCGCCAGTCTTCCCGGTTCCACCTGTTAACAAGATTGTCATGTTGGTTATGGGATGTTGTAAGTATGTATCTTGGTCTGGGTCTGATATCGATGTTGCTGAAGCATTTTCTAGCCATTTTATAGCATGTCCTTGGTTCAACTTTCCACAAGAGATTCTCCGTGCTGATTAAGACAAAATGATTAATCTGATGACATCTTTGCAGTGAAAGAACGCGAGCAGACGCGAGCCCCGTCCGCGAACGGATATATGTTGCGTGAATTTGGCGCAGATCTCATTCAATCGTAAGTCCCAGGTGTCATGAACAAGTTGTGATTATCAATATCTCCCTCTTATTTAAAAGCTGCCGAATTACATAGATTCTAGGAGTACTTCCTCAGGTCTTCACCAGCTCCGCATATATAAGTAGGAGCGTTGACAACGAATTCATGCATACGATTTGGGAAAACTGCGACATTTATAGGTTAGGTGCTGTCACATACGTCTGTTGCTTTCGAAGAAGCACGCGAGCAAAGGGTGCTTGCCAACGCTCAGGAGCTCGTAGTTAATGGCTTATTCATTTCCGGAAGCAAACTAGCCGCCACCATACATGTGTCTACGTGTTTCTCTTCCATTGTGAAACCAGAGATGCGTTGCGGGCGATGCCTGTTGTGCTTTTTACAAGTTGAGGGCGAGGAGAGCGTTTGTAGACGCGCGAAGAGCGATATCCAAGTCGTCGATGAGTTTAGATCGAATCGAACATTTTTATAGTTAGAGAAAGATGCAGTCAAATGAGGACGAATTCCGAAATAGCGATACGACACTTCAGCGAGAATGACAAGTGTCCGTGCGTTTACAGCTAATCGGAGGTACGGGCATCTGGTGATGAGTTTGCAGAAGGAACTAGCAAATGGAAGAGGTATTCGAGAGATTCTTAAGGTTGTTATACACAATGAGAGTCAAGCGTTGACAATGTTTAGTGACGCAAGTCGCCCATGGCCCACCGGCCTCACTAGTGGTGGGACGCAAGCATCCATGATCAGCAAACTTCTTCCGCCGCATTCGCGAAACCACAGCCGACCACTCAAGCTCAAGCCTCAGGCCTCAGGCCTCAAGACCATGTTGCGAATGGATTGCGTCTTGCCCAAACGGCTGCAATTTTTGGCCCGGGAACCTGGAGGATTCTTGATATGATATCTTTCTCAAGATTCAAGCCATCACACATACGAGAGTTCAATTCAGCATCCAATCTCTGTGGTTTCATTAACAACTACTGGTACATTTATACGATGTGAAAGATGGTTGTCGATTTCGGCGACTCTACTGCTTGATCCACAATTCAC